CAAGGAGTCCGACCAAGCCCATACCGGCTCGAGTCCAAGGTTAGCCAGTGAGATTTGGGCGTCCCCCACTTAACACTTATGAGTCAAGGAGATTCACTCTCATCGACTTATGCAGCCATATCATAAATAATCACTTAAATTCACTTAACAAGTCACTTCAAACAATTCAAGTATTTCATGTCACGAAATTCAAGTACACTTCAGTTAAATGAGAACGAGTATGATAAAGTACACACTCGACTCAGCATTTTCAAAATATTCTATTATCAAAGCAATTAACAAGTTTTCACACACTTGACACTCACTGAGTGATTCAAGTAGCAAGTACAAGCGATAAGTTAGGTGTCTCCTGTGAGATCCCCTTGAAGGTCCTCTTGAGTGCCTGAGCAATTAATAATATTCTATCACTCATAAACCCCAATTATCGAAGAAGATTCTACTAGAGTATAATCTAAGAAAATCTCATGAAAATGAGCCCTATTCACTCGTAAATCAAGACTCAAAGGCGGGGTTTTAAAGCACAAGAGAAATCTGGTTTTCATCTCTAAATTTCAGGTAAAACGATCCATGTGATATCGAAGGAAAAAGGAGAATTCGAAAAAACTCCGTTTCCTTAAGTTTTCAAAAATTTCAGCTTTGATACGAGATCTTTGAAAAATCGTATCTCACTCTCTAACAACTCCAAAATTGGAAAACTTGGTTCCGTTGGAAACTTCTTCCAAAGTACTAAAAGTTCTTAGAAGATACTTTTCCATGATTCCAAAAGGAGGGCATTCAAAAATTGGCTCGAAGTCACTGTTTTAGGCTTGCGAGACAGTTTTGAGGTTGATTTTTCGCCAACTTTGGAAATTTGGTAAAATTCACAGAATTTGAACTAGCCTCTCAAATTTGAAACTCAAATAGAGTTACAATCAAAATTTAAAACAAAAAAAGCGGAACAAGAATCGGAGTTTGAGCACCAAGTTATAGTAGCTCAAAGTTGATGAAAAATTGAGACGGTTGGGCAAATTTCCAGATTTAAGTTACAAATCTTGGGACTTTGTTTGCGCATCGAAATGGACTCGGAATGGTACCAAATTTGGTATGATTATACTACCATATAAGGGATATTCCTCTATCAAATTTTATCGAAAAATACGCACGGGAAGTTGGCTAACCAAATCACTAAAGTTTCAAAAATTCCAAGGCAAATCTGCCTTGTACATTCCGTTTTCCATTTTCAAAACGTTTGGCCAACAAAGTGTCTCAAACATGGTCCATCTGTGTAGGTAATGTCTAGAAAACATCCAAGATACATTTGGTAGGTGATTAACACCATGAATTTCAAATTAACAAGTCCCAACCAAGATTTAGGCGTTTACTAGCCAAAAAGAGGGTTTTCAAACACCGAATCAGTTTTGAAATACTGCCACAATTCACTCAATTCAACTTGGAATTGAGTATGGTTGGTGGCGCTGAAAACTAGATTCATAAAGCTACAATTTCTGAGAAGAAATTATTTTTCAAAATCTGTCCACAACTAGCTCATATTTGAGCATCAATTTGCTGCTCAAAACAGAGCTTCCAGTGAACTAGCGAAACAGGACAGTCATGTTCAAACAATTGGTATAGATTAATCAGGTGGAATCAGGATGTACATTTTATACCGTGGGAAATTTGGGAATGTCTAGTTTCTAGTGCCGCAAACGGCACTCGATTTCGGACGTCGGAGCAAAAAGTTATAGCTAAGACAAAAACATTGCCAGAGTAGTTACGGGAAAAATTTCCAGTTCTGCTGATTTCCGAAAACACAACATTTGGCCAACCAAATCACGAAATTTTTTGATGAAACTTCGTACAAAACTTATATTACACATATACATCAAAAACAAGTCATTAGAACTACCCAAAAACGCACTAAAGATCACGGGACAGACAGGGGCAAAAATGGAAAAATTTCCCTCTTCACATCCTTTGAGTTTCCACCAACAACACAACATTAATCCACTAAATTAAGCACTAAACCGACATTAATAACATCATAACTCATCAAATCAGTCCATCCAACCATAGTGGGAGTTCATAGAGCTCACACAACAACTTTCCAACATAAAGAAACTACCCACAAGAAGATATGAACTTGTAAGTGCTATATTACTTCCATAAACCAAGAATTTCAAGGTTGATCATTGATTACCTTAGTTACATGAACCAAGCAGAAATTTTCGGTCCTATATGCTCAAGAAAAACTGTGGAAAGCATCCCCTTTTTGTGAGAACCCGTAATTTTTCCCATTTTCTAGGTTTTATTATCTTTCATGGCTTGTTTTCTGCATTTTCTTGATTAGGAAAAATTCTAGATCTTTTGAAGGAGCAGATATAGTTTTTAGATGATTTTTCTAGTATCGAATAGGTTTTGAGAAATTAAGAGTGTATACCGGACGTGGGACCCACTAGTGTGAAAAGTTCGGAAAAATTCGGCCAACTAGGTTAAGTTTTGGATACTGGAATTAATTTACCGGGTGTTAAGAGATAAGTAGAGGTTGCAATTTGGATTGGTGTGAGAGGAAACAAAGTGATAGACTTGCATTAATGGAGGCGACAAGTGTCACAATTGGATTGGTCCTTAAGTAAGACTACTATTCCTTTTCTTACCATTGACCAAATAAATCAAAAAATAACTAAAAAATTCACCATTTTCTCTTCATCTTGGCCGAGCTCCTTGAGTAACAAAAGAAAGAAAACTCTTCAAGATTTTGGCTTCAATCTTGCTTCAATCAACTTACTCAACCATCCAACCTTGATTTTGCTCCATAAAACCACTTAAGGAGTGATAGTGAAGTGTTGTGTGGAGTTATTTGGAAAGCTAAGAGGACTTGTTGCTTTTAGAGGTGTCTACAAAATTGCAGGTCAATCAGAGTAGCGTAGCTTGAGAAAAGTCGAAATTACCCTTGCTGTTCTGGTTTTACCCGAATTGGAGAATTGCTTCTGTAATTGTTATTTTGGTTAGGAATGCTTCCGAATTGGTTGTTGAGGCCTTCTGATGAAATGTATCCCTGTTTCTTAGCTTTCAGATGGTTTTGGAATTTCTGGATTTGGAATTGGATAGCCTGATTTATGATGTTTCCGCTAGAATGCATTCTGTGAATCTATTTTTGTGATTCTGGTGTAGTATCTTGCATTTTTGACATGGTTACACTCGAAACTGGGTTGAGTGACCTTCTGTAATATTGTAGCCCTATCTCTTAGCTTCGAAACGGTGGATCTTGCACCTTTATCCGATAATCGTAGTGTCTTTGGCGCCATTACAGCAAAATGAGGTCGAAAACTGTTTTTTTCAGGGTCACAACTAGTTTCATTTCCGGATTTTCTGGTTTTCCCTAATGCTTGTATATGCTTATGAAACCCTATTGGGGTCGTATTTGGCATTGGTTTATGACTCGTTATCGAGTCTCATTGTACTTGTTTGCATGTTTTAGGGCGTGACGGTGGTTCACGACGTTCTTTTGACGGTAGTGCATGAAACACCATTTGCAAGCTTGGTGAGTGTACTACTCACTTGTGTGTTACTATATAGCTTTGATACTTGAACTTGATGAGTTGAATGTTAATTGATTGAAGTGAGAGCGTACTTTATCACTCTCACTTATTGTTTCTCTTGTTATTGGAATGTACATGAAATGAAAGTACTTGATTTGGTGTCGATTGGACGAGTATCCAACGACTACAATTGTTATCTTTGAGCTCAACACCATTGGTAGTTGATTGAATCGAGCCGGTGAGGGCTTGGTCATGCCAATTAATGATCCTTGGGGAAAGTGATATATGAAATCTTGTAGTAAGAGAGACTCTCGATTCCAGTATACTCGAGTAATGTTGGGTATTGTGAGTGGGGTTGGGTCGGTAATAGAAATGAAATGTGTTGGAATGCGAAGTGGGAATTGGAGCCGGCAGCAATTGGAAGTGTGGAGTGTGGTCTGAGGTGAATTGCTGCAGAGGAGATGGAATGGCGGTTTGAGATATGAAATGGAGAGAACGGTATAAGGTGCCGTGGTATTAGGAGCAGAGGTTGCGTGTGTGCGAATTGGTTGCGTATCGAATTGGATAAAATGTGATTGGCCAATAGTTGCGGTGATTGGAATTTGCGGTCAGAGGATTTCGTTTGGTTTGCATGAAATTGTAAGGGCATTTTAGTCTTTTCACTTTGCTCCCTAACCTCAACTTAATTTCTCAATTCTAACTTACTTCTAAAAATTATCTCCAAGCGTGATTTAAACGCCTAATTATACCCTAATATACCTAAACCATTTTTATCGAATAATTATCGATTAAACTTGAATATTAATGTTCCTAGTAATTCCTAACATTATTACCTAATTATTTAAACTATTAAAATCAAGTTTGACCTTAATATATAAATTTAACGTTCTTAATATTCGTTTATCCATTTATATCAAAACTTATTAACTTAATCATTATTAACGCTTAAGATTAGCTATCGGAATTCGAAGAAATTATTTGTTAAATCAATGAAATAATTTACCTTCGAAATATGAATTTAATGAAACAAAACTAGAAATTTAATAGTTTAGCACAATTCTTTTATTTTGCATATAAAATTTATTGGTTTTGGTCTTAACGTGAAAATTCTTATTAGTATTTAATGTTATTCACTAATTAGGATTAATTATTGGAATTCAAGAAATTTTATATAATTAATCTACTCAGGTAGCATTAATTTTAACATAAAGAAAACTAAGTATTTTAGCATTTTATTTTAAGGCGATAAATTATTCTAACTCCAGATGTATTAATTTAGTCTAGCAAAGTCAAGAAAATTCATAACTTGGAAAAATTATATTATTTCTTACATAAAATTGTTTTTACGGACTTATTTGCAGACAAGGGAAATTAATGCTAAAATTTATTAAAGAGTTAAAAGAAATGCAAATGAACTACAAAATGATATTTATATATATATTTTTCAGGGTTCTCACATATTCGTTATCTGCTCTTCACAGTCTAGCTGTAGGCATGAAAAAATGATGGATTCTCGAGTGTTTGCTCTTGAAAATAATTCAACATACTACCTGTTTCTCCATATTTCAAACTCCTTTCCCATCGAGTACGAAGATATCGTTTCAAGTCTTCTCGAGTATATCCCACATTTTCCATCCCACTTGCCTCCTTTCCCATAAGCTCGTAGCTCTGTTTCAATGAAAACCCAGCATCCACGCTTATTTCAGCTTGGAATCCTTGAGCCTCACTCATTTTTCTTTGTGATGGCATCATGTGCGAACATTGAGCAATATGCAACTCATGGTTATGTTCTAAGACAAGGTCATGCACACGGTACTTCATTGTCCCTCTAAACAACGCGATAACCATTTTAGCTCCACACCCCGTTTTCGTCGGCGCTCGAGTTCTCTTTGGCATCACATCACTTTCGTATTTGCGTTTTACACCTTCCTTGCAGCAACTATATCTCCTAGACGTGGTCACACCGTCTTTGTCTTTATTTAGATAGTCTTTGCGTACACTAAAACCCATTTTAAAGGCATATTTGTTGTAAAACTTGTACGCATCCCGTTTACTATTGAATTCCATTCCTAATTCAGGGGTCCCATCTTCTGCCAATTTGCTACAATCCATTACTTCTGCTCCTACTAATTATGCATCAAACACCATAATTTGCAACAGTTCATGAATAGTATGTACATAAACGACAACATAAGTGTATATTACCATTCATAATGTGTTATGTTACACCCATTACTCGTGTACCAAATCCTATTATTCTCCCATCAATATGATTAATGTTGTACAAATACTCGTATATCAAATCCTATTATACTCTAAGACAACGGCATAATATATGTACAAATACAATTTCGTGTACAATAAGTTATACGTATGTAATGCGTTGGTCACATGATGTAAGTGTATTTTAACTGTATGTACATCCACTCTGGTGGTTATATTTAGGTTCCAGGTACTTTGTTTCACTAGACCTTATGTCATTCGTCAATGACAACCGCCGAAGCCAACTCCGCATTTTCTACTGTTTCTATATTTTGAGGGCCCAACAAGCATTCTCTACTCATTGTAATATATTTATTACATCATGTAATTTACTTACAACACCAGGTATACCCATTTATTATTCACATAGGTCGGTCTTTTCCTCTGCTTTACCTCATTCAACTCTGCACCTCCATTTTATACACACCGCATGGTCAGAAGAGAGGGGTAAACTAAGATTGTGTCATGGGCATGGATCAACTATTGGGCGCACAATGATTTACGTCAATTGTAATACAATGCCTATAACCTGTAACTAATTTACAACAGAATGTACATTCATTCACTTGTTAAATGTGATTTTGTTTCTCTCATCTTTCCCTAATTTCTTTCGACGGTTTACTTGAATACATATCCCTAGGTCTTCCAATAACTACTATCCCATTATAGTTCATCACTGAAAAGCTGAATGCTCACAAACACATAGATACGGTACAACTTTACTATTCTTCTATCATCTTCATATCTAATTTCATCCTTCATTTAACAGATATGCATTTGGGTGACAAATGATTGGCTACAGTTAGTTACATGGTTCAGTTACGTTACCTTAGTCTGCTAATACGCTCTACGTTTCACCAAACTCAGAGAGCTCAGCTGCTTCTGCTATTAAGCTGAAGGACAAGAATTTCCTCTGTTTGCTTCTACCTTGCCGCCTGCCTTGTCAGCGTTTAAAATGGATACAACATTTGTTGACCCAGTAGCCGAAGTCTCTTCTCAGTTTCTCGGTAAGTTTCTCGAACGGAAACTGAGAAAAGGGACTAGGTTTTATGAGAAAAGAAAACTGAGCTACGAGTTTTCTGTCAACTCCCTACCTTCAGACGGAGCACGCCAAGACTTTTCCCACAATTTTGTTTTCTGTGGGTCATTCAAAATTTCAACTTGCTTTTCAAATTTTGAACTCAACCGTTTGCTCCGTCTGATTCCGTTTGGAATCATAAATTTTTTTATTTCGAACGGCGTCGTTTTTACCCTTTCTTAAGCTTTCCTGACGTGGATCATTTTTCTCCTCATGTTTTTGCTTGTGAGAGGGCCGTTCAGGAGCGGTCGGCCTGACGACCGCTCCTGCCCTGTATCCCTTGGACGCGGGGCAGGCAACTTAACAGTATAGTATTTTTTTTTAACGTTTCACAATTCTAAGTTAATTGTTTGTATATCTTTATAACGTAGGTGTGACATTTTATTATTGTTTATATGAATCTCATACATAATAATTACATACATATTATAAAGTTTTATAAGTATTCAGGTAAAATTACACATTATCCAAAAAATATTATACCATTCAAAAGAATTCGTGCCCTTGATCCGGATCTGGAGGTCCATTTACTCGTTCACAAGGGCTTTTTTGCATTTAATCCTTTTAACTTTTGGAATAATTTCAGAAACCTCCCTTGAGATTTTTAATAATTTTAGTTAGCTCTCTTGAAGTTTTAACAATTTCGCATACCTCACTTGTTATTTAAAATGATAATACTACCTCTTAAATATTTTAATGAAATTCCCTTATTTGGTATTTTTATACTTAGAATGACTTTTAAAATTATTTTTTATTCTTTTCCCTTCTTGTTCCTTTTTTTAAAAATTTTTGCTAATAAAACTATAAAACTACCACTATTACCTTTAGTTTCTATTATAACCAAATATCGAACTAGTGATTTTTTTGATAAATTAACTTTATATGCAATCCAATGTTTTTGCTGATTTTTGTTTTCTATTTTTTGGCATTAAAATTAACAATAAATCAAAAGGAAATTACCCAAAATCACTACCAAATTATAATAATCTCACAACTCGAAAAATTCATAAACTCTAAATGAATTATTTCAATATTTTCTTTTTTATCTTATAAATTTAAATCCATAATAAAATATCATCAAAAGTATTCTATCATAGTGATAAAATAATTATTATAGTTATTTATCAAATAGTAGGTATGGATATGAAAATTTTGGTACATTTTCTTATAATTATACCAGATAATTTTATAATATTGAAAAGTAAATTAAAACTCATTATATCAAGGTATTTTTGAGTATTTACTTAAAAATTTGATCAAGTCAATATTATTTTAAGATTTTATTACTAAAACTATCATATTAGAAAAAGATAGATGTAATTTTTCAAACTTTAAAGGAGTTCAGGAAAATTGTTTATCCCTTAACTTTTTTCTTTCTTTAGTATACTTCAACATGAAATCCAATCCAGTTTCTTTAGCATGCCTTGGAACGCAATCCAATGCAACGGTAAATAGTTTTAAAAGAGTTGGTGGACCCGTATAAAAGAATTGGCAACTGGAAACTGCTCCCAGGTTGCCAAGGTGGCTACGCAAGATTTACTTCGCTAATTATTTCAGGGCTGCTCTCTGACGTGTCATTCATGATGCTGACGGCAACCAGCACTCCATAAATTGCCGACAGCTATTCAGATTCCCATTTTGGGAGAAGAAGGCAGCGAGAAATGCGCCAAGTCCGTAGCCCCAAGCTCCGATTACCGTCAGTCCCCGCCGGCGCCGGTGAGACCTCCCTGCACTGTTTTTTTTCCCATGTGTTAAATTTTTATCTCCTGAAGCTAACTAATTTTTTGTCATTTCGTTTTTGGGTGAAGAACAACTTTTTGGAGCCAACTTTCAGCATTGAGATTGCAATTTGATATACAACTACTTGCGAAGCTTTAATTGCTTCAGAGATTCAGATTTTGCTGGATGCGAACTACTCGACCTAAGATTGTAGGAGTACAGGTAAAAGGGGAAAGGAATATCGATTTAAATGTATGAATTTCGTGTTTTCTGCTACTTTAATGTGCTCATTGTTTAGTTTTTTAAATTTTAGACCAATGAGATTTTGTGTTGTAATATCCGGTGCCAATTTTCTGCTAGTTCTGTTATGCTGCAGTTTCTTTGTCCTTCAGTTTGACAAAAACTATATAATTTGTTAAAGTAATTAAATGCATGAATCAGCTCTAAACTTTGTTTAATCTCGTTTAATTATTTTTTTAATACTTATTTAGTTGATTTAAGGAAGATTTATTTACCTGCCAGCAATGAATTTCTTGTTCCTATTGTAATTGCAATTTGGAGATATAGATCAAGTTGTTATGGATTCATAATTGATGTACCATGCAGTAGTCTAATGAAACAATCGTGATATGGCATAATGGGTTGTGCGTGCTTAACAGGAAGACTGCTAATTGTATGGTTCAAGATGTGCACCTAAAATTTCATGGTTCAGGAATTAAGAGGGACGTCTGTTAAATATACAAGGTGCTATATCTGATTTGGAATTTAGATGTTTTTGGTTTGATAGCATGGAGAGCACATAATTTGAATTTGTTTGATAGTTATGTTGAGTGTAATGAATTTGATGGTGCTACAGCCAAGTTTTTTTTTTCTCAAGAACTTGGATGCAATATGGATATTTTGTATCTAGAAGTAGGATTGCTGGGAATAATCGGAATTTAACGTTTCGATTGACAAATTTGTTTACCCAGAGGAAAGAGCTTGTTCGAGAAAGTTTTGCCCTAAATAGGAGTGAAGATTTATGCCCCAGCTGTTACATATAGCAAATTCTAATGGGTTAATTGTGAAAAGTATTTTAGATGCTACCTTAAATGACATGGATATTTTGAAAGGTTTGTCATTTCAATGTACAGGCAACTAATACCACATGAATATGTTCCAAACATAAGTGGGAAATGGAATCAAATAACCATTCTGTCCTTCCGATTCCCATTAAGCAAATGCACCTCAAACAGAAATATCACATGAATATGTTCCAAACATATGAATAGTGGCAACTAATGCCACATGAACATGTTCCAACCATACGTTAATGGGAAATGGAATCAAATAACCATTCTGTCCTTTCAATTCCCATTAAACAAATGCATCCCATATATGCATGTCTCCATATCATGTCCTTTTTCCAATTGGATTTAAAATTTGAAGCAATGAAAACTTTTTTCTTTGTGTGATATTGGCATTAAAACTTAGGGTTCAACCACGCAGGTACCAGTCTCTTTTGATTGACACTATGTCGGCTTGTTGCCGACTGATGGCTTGCCGTGCCGTGTCAACAATTGCAACCCATCATATTCCATCTCCACAAATTCCCATTCATCTGTGCCAATTGTCACGTTTCCCAACAATTCATCAACATTATATACAGCGTAAGATTGTTCTGACATCGAGGCAATGGGTGATTGAGGCAGTAGGCAGTGGAGGAACTGGACCGGATATTGGAGCTGCTGATGGTGAAATACATAAAAATGGGAAGCGTTGTTGTTCTTATCCAGTTGAGGAGGTGGAGAAGGGGAGTAAGGAAGAAGAAAAGTTTGCTAATGGGAAAAAGGATGGGATGGTGAAAGTTGTGGTTGCAGCTGTAGCTACAGTGGTGCTGGGTGTAGGAAATCGAGTTCTCTATAAGCTTGCTTTGGTTCCTCTTAAGCAGTATCCCTTCTTTTTAGCTCAATTGGCCACTTTTGGGTACTTCTATGATCTCTCTTCCTTTAGAATTGATGATTAATGTTACAGCTTGGTTTAGTTCAAAAGTATATTTCTGTTTTGTTTGTAT